AACGACCGGTCCATCGCCCTGGTAAACCGCCGTCCCGGGAGGACGGGGGTGGGGTGGGGGTGGGGTGTGCGGGGACCGGGGGCAGGGGCGCGGACACACACGGAAGCGTTTGGCACGCCGAGGTTGACACAGCGGCTTCCGGGGGAGTGCGGAGCAGGCAGGGTCCCCGACAAGGGGGGCAGGCGGAGGACACCTCCCAGGCGCCGAGAGGGCGAGAGTCGCGGGCTGGCACTGCCTGGCAGCCGAGCAGGCCCGGGCCGGGAGTGGCACCGGAGGGCGGTGCCCGGCTTCCCATCCGACGAGCGCCGGCCGCGGGCCCCCTCCTGGCGAGAACCCCTCCCCCGCCACGGGCACTGACCTGTCCAGGGCCCGGCTGGGCCTGGCCGGGCGGGGCCTACGCAGCCCCTCGGCCGGGCGCCGCCTCGCGCGGGGTCCCGGGCCCGGGCGGGCCGCCTCCTCTCCGCCGGGAGCCTCCGAGCCGGGGCCCGGGGCTGCCGCGGCGCATCCGACCACACCGGCCTGGCCGGCGTCAACAAAGGGCGGCGGGGGCGCGAGGCCGGGGCGGGGGCGCGGGCGGCGGCCGGATTGCGCGCGCGCGGCGGGCGCTCGAGGGCTGCAGCCGCCGCGGAGACAATGCGGCGCGTCCCGGCAGGGCTCCCGCGGCCGCCTCCGCCGGGGGCGGGGCCTGGTCGCGCGGGGCGGGGTCTCCGGGAGGCGGGGCGCCGGCGCGGAAGCCAGGCCGCGCGCTTCCTTTGTGCGGCCGCGCCGGCCCCGCCCCGCGCCCTCCGGAAGGCGCCCCGAGCCGGGCGACGGGTTAGGGACGTCGGCCTCCGGTTTAGGGAGGCGGGCGCCGCGCGGCGCGGACGTCTGCCCGCGGCCGGTCAGCAGTCCCCAGTGGCGTGGCGGACTGTTGACTCCCGCCCGGCCAATTCGGAGGCAATAATAATAACGACTAGCAGTAATCGAGTGCTTAGTATGTGTCAAGCACTCGGCGCACGCATTCCCACTTAGGCTTCACAATAACCCCACAAGTAGTCATTATTCTCCCCACTGGGAACTGAGGATCAGAGAAGTTAAGTAATGACCAAAGTGACCCAGTTACACCTCCATAAACGGGGATAATGCCTACTCTTTAGGCTTACTGAGAAGGTTAAATGAGGACATTTACACAAATTGCCTGCAGTGCTTGGCACACAGTTGGAGCCCAATAAATGTTACTTCTCTTCCTAAACCACACTGATTTAAACTGGATTGTCATGGCGAAGCACACACATTCACTAGATACGCTAGGAGCTGTGGGGGGTACAAGAGATGTACAAGGTGACTCACGCGTCTCACCGCCCCACCCCCCAGCTTTACCAGGAATCGATGACACGTACTTCTCCCTCCATGCTTGACGTCTCTCTTTTCCCAACATTTTCCCATTTTCTTGCTTTTTTAAGCATTCGTATTCTCCCCCCCCCCCCCCCCCCCCCCCCCCCCCCGCTTTTCCCCTTCAGGTCTCATCCCTTTTTGTTTGTTTCTGCGTCTTACATTTATTTTATATGCCCTGATTGTTTACTTCACTCCCTCTTCTCCTTATCCCTCTTCCCTCCCTATTTTTCGAATTTTCAAAGTCTTCTTTCATTAACATTCCCATTTCCTCCTCCTTTCTGATTTGCATTTCTTATACTTACAAAGATAACATGGGATAGAACACTCAACTTCTATTTCCCAAACAGGCCCACACTTTTGTGCCTCCCTACCTTTACTTCCTATAGTCCCTTCTAGATTGCCCTTTCCCCAACTCTGCATGTCTAGGTCCTACTTATCCTATCCTTCAAGTTCTAGACTCAAGAACAGTGGTCGGCAAACTTTCTCTGTAAGGAGCCAGATAGCAGATATTTTAGACTTTGCTGGATATACTTTCTCTGTTGTAACAATTCGGCTTTGCTGTTGTAGCAGGACAGCAATCATGGGTTGCGGGCTGGCACTGCCTGGCAGCCGAGCAGGCCCGGGCCGGGAGTGGCACCGGCTGTGCTTCAATAAAACTTTATTTATGGACACTGAAATTTAGATTTTATACAATTTTCACATATCATATAGTATTGTACGGCTGTGCTTCAATAAAACTTTATTTATGGACACTGAAATTTAGATTTTATACAATTTTCACATATCATATAGTATTCCTTTGATTCTTAAAAGAATTTTTAAATGTAAAAACCATTATTAAATAGTTTACAAAAACTGGCGATGTGATGGATTTGGCCCTTGGGATGTTGTTTGCCAACCTCTGCTCTAGAACAACTCCCCTTCCTCTCAGCAATCTATCCTGATAATCTCTACTTGGTGGTAACTCTTCCCTCTTAACTTTTAAAGTACTTACCTATAATCCTTCTATGGCATTTATCACATTTTGGTTTTTATTGTATGTTTTCTTCCTGTGCATTTCTCGTCTTTCCCAGCAGACCTTAAGCTCCTTGAAGGTAGGGCACAGACCTTATTTCTCTATGTATTACCTCCCAGCCCACAGAGCTTTGCACGGAGCAGGCATTCGAACATAGAATGGATAAATATTTAAGTCTTGGGTGGTTCACAGTTGTTTCCACTGTGCAAAGCCCACTTCTCTCATGAGATAGTACCTCAGGAACAGGGTGCTTGTTATAAGTATAGATTTCAGAAAGAGATTTTTGAGAGCTTTATAGAGAAGACAGAGAAAGACAGGCAAATGTCAGTTCATTTAGGAGTTACTGGATAACAAGCACTTGAACAAAGAATGCATATTATCACCAACCTGCAGACAGAGCATGTGTCCTCAGTCGGGTCCTATTCAACATTTCTATCAGCACATTGGTTAAAGACAAAGAGAACATGCTATATGATTTACAGATGGCAAAGTCAAGCAGAGGAGTTAATATAAAGAATCACAAAATCCTGATCTAAAACATTTCTGCCCCCTCACTGATTCTCTCTGTGTCTCTGTTTTCCTATCTTTAAAATGGGGATGATAAAAGTCCCTTCCTACCTCATAGGGTTACTGTCAGGACTAAATGAGGAAATACACATAAAGCCTGGCAGAGAGGGCTTAGTAAATATTAGCTATTAACTATTTTCTTGCTGGGCAGGAACTACCGGCTGAATTCACAAGATAACATTTAATAGGCATAATTAACTATATATTTCGGCTCAAAATATAAATTGTACAAGTTTGAGACTGTGGAGACCTGGAATGATAGCAGTCCATGTTAAAAGGAACCTTAAAAACAAAATAAAAAATAAACCCCAAACCCAACCCTCTGGGATGCAGGTGACACAGTGCTCTATGAGCCAACGGTGTCATTCCTCTGGCTGGGAGGAGCTACTGCGGGGCTATAGGTACATCGTGCTGATGCAGGAAGGTGGGGGAGTTACGCTCGGAGCCAGAGTCAGGGCACTGCCCTTCATAGCAGTGTGACCTGGACCCTCTATGGGCTTTTATTCCCTCCTTTGAATCACAGGGACAGTAATAATTCTCTCTCAGGGTTATCATGAACGAGGGAAGGAAACCTTAAAACAGTACTTGGCACCTAGTAGGTGTGCAGACAAATCTCAGTTCCTCCCTACCATACCACGCAGATCTGCGAAACAGTTCTGTCCCTTGAAGGGCGTACGAAGCTAGGTCCAGGTGCCAACCAATGGTGGCCAGTGGCTTTCTATATTTGGAATTACTGTGCTTAACTTGGGAGCTCACACTTTGGGAGAATTAATGCAAAGGCGGAATGTGGCTAAACAAGAATGACCAGATGGCGGTGGGAGTGGGAGGTCTTGACATGGGATGGGTTAAAAAAAAAAAAAAGTTCTCAGATATGCAGCCTGGAGATTTTCCCTTTTTTAATGGGAAGGAGAGGAAAGAGACACGGTAACTGTCTACAAAGGCCACAGGAGATGGACTGTTACAATTCCCAAGACGTTCACAGCCAGTGATGGAAGTTCCAGGAGAGCTGGTTTTGGCTTAATTTGAAGAGCAACTTTCTGATAATTAGAGCAACTCCACAGTGGAATGGGCTGCTTTTCAAACTGGTGAATCCCTTCTTATTGCAAGTGTGCCAAGAGAACGGATGGCCTCCTTCCTGTCTTTTAATTTTCCTGATGTTCTTTCTCCACATTCTTTTGCTTTCCTTTTCCTCGATCCCACCCTCTATTCCTTATAGGACACTGATAGCCCTTTCCCCTACTTTGTCCCCAAGTGCTTGTGTTCTCATTTCTCCTTCTTGAGTTTCCAAACTTTTGGCTCTCCATTCTCCCCACCCCGGCTCCCAGCACATACTTAGTCCGGTGACTGGAACTGCCTCCCTGACAGCTCAGAATGTCACAGATCTGGGCCAAGATAACGCACCAGCAGAGAGGGGACCCAGAGGTCATGCTGTGACTCTCCCAACAGGGTAGAGGGGTCCAGCAGTGTGTCCTGAAACCCAGTCATGGAGAAGGCCATTTGTCACTGGGCACTCACAGACAGACAGCTGGGGATCCTGGAACTGAGCAGTTCTTTCAAAAACGCTTTCCACGAGCTGAACTCATTCTGAATCCCCTTCTGGCTCCCCCTAGGCATTTGCTGTATCTTTGATCTATGGCAGCCGTTTGTCGTATTTCCAATTTCAAGAACTCCTTCTCCGAGCAAGCCAAGCAGAGAATTGAGACAACTGGAAACCTGCCTGAACTCTCAACTTGGCATATGGATATGCAGATACACCTGACAGCAATGACATGTAGGCCTCAGAGTCTGGATCTAGAACTTTCAACTCTCCTTTTCTTTCTCTCTCCTTTTCTATCATCTGAGTCCCCTTTCTTTCCCTTTGGTTCATCTTCCAGTCCTCCTCCTCCCACCCCTGGCCCCATTTCCACCCACCCTGCTTCCTTGTTGCCTTGTGGGCTTGCGGTGGTTTACCCGTCCAGGCTAGATGCCCAAGTGAAACGTGCCAGGGCATGGCCAGGAAGGCCAACTTGCTCCCCTCCCTCGAGGGCCCCACTCCACTTCATACCGTGAGCTGGGGGCTGCTGGACGTTAGGGCTCTTGGGGACGGGCAGGCCTCCAGGCATGGCAGTGATGATGGCCTGTTGGTGGGGTGATGGGCCAGACCGAGTCTCGGGCACACTCTTCTCCCCAGGTACTGCTTCCTTCCAGTCATCCTCGGCACACTGCTGGGGCTATGAAGGGACAGGACAGGGTTCATCTGCTCACACATTGCCTCTACATCCTCGGATACTTCCCCTGTTTCCGAGGAGTTTGGGTAGCAGGCAAGGACATTAAGGTTCAGCCAGCCCCAAATTAGGGAGGGGCCCCTGGGCTTTCTTGGATCACCCAGAGAGGACTTCGACAAAAACACCTCCACGTGGGCGCTGTGGCACTGATGGGGCTGCGTCCTCCCGTCTGTTCCCTGGACCTTGGCACTGGCTTACTCACCACTGGTGAGGCGGGCTGCAGTTGTAGGATGACAGCTGAAGCGTGCTGGAACCTGCGCTGAGGGGTGTGGGCCAGGCCCTCAGGGTATCCATTATGAGGCCCAGCGTCTGGCGTGGGAGGGTGACACTGCTGGGTGCCGCCAGCCTTGTGCAGACTGGTCGTGGGGCACTGGAGAGGCAGGGCGGGTGTAACTGGGCCTAGGGGCATGGCGTGGGCTTCGGGGCTGGGCTGCAGGGTCAGGCTGGGAGGGACCGAGGCAGGCTGGGGGTGGGGCTGGGCTTGGAGCGCTGGCCGGGTCTGCGGCAGTGGCGGCGGTGCTGGCGGCTGGGGCTGCTGCTGGAGCACAAACTGGGGCTGCAGGTGCTTTGAGGGCGGCTGCGAGAGGAGCTGGTGCGGTTGCAGCTGAGCATAGGCTGAAGGGGGGGGACAGACCAGGTCAGGGGGCACAGCTTGACCTCATCTTCTGCCGTGGCCCCCACTCTGCCCCTCCCACCTCCGTATCACGATGGCTTCCCAGACTGAGGTCTCGGGCTTTGATCTTTCAGCTTTCACCTAGAGCCTGGCCTGGCCTGGCCACTGCCATGGCCCAACTCTCTCTGTTTCCTTGCCTTCCTCCTGTGCTGAAGCCTTGTTCCCTCAGGCTGCCCCTCAAAACCCAGTGCAAAACTCACCTCCTCTGGGAAGCCTTCTTGGACCATGCCAGCTCTTCAGAGGACCCCTGGATTCTACAGCGTGCCACGTTCTCTGTCCCCTCCGTGCCCTTCCCTCGCTTTTCTCTGAGCCTGCAATTGGTGGGGCCTCCCTCCGCCCAATCCAACCCTAGCTGTGCTCAGGCTGGGTCTCCTCCAGGAAGAGCAGATTGCACACGGGGCCCCGGACTCTGTTACATACACAGGGGCCGTGGGCTAGCTGCTAAACCTCGCTGGGCCTCGGCTTCCTCCTCTCAAAGTTGAAAATAAAAAACAGTTCCCGCCCAGAAAGTTGTTGTAGGGATGAAATGAGAAAAAGCTGTGCGAATAAAAAGAGAAAAAAAGTGACACAATGTGCATAGCATGGTGCCTGGCAGACAGTCATGCTCGATCATTTCTAGCTATAATTAGAGTGATGATTTCAATCCCGGTATAGGTTCTCAAAGTATGCTGGACTGACGTCTACCATAAGAACGTGTATCACAGTGCACTATAATTATTTCTTAGCTGCCTTCCCTTCAAGATCATGAACCCCTTGTGGTCAGAAACTATCCTGGATCTCTTTATCCAGAACCGGGCCTAATGCCTTACATCGGATGGGTGCTAAGGAAATAAACTTCTTGTCCTGAACTGGAATTCATTTGTTGCTACACACCGCTAGCCTTCTCTTCTCCCATTTTACCCAGGCCGACTCTTTGAGGTGAGGGTTCTTATACTTTTTTAGTAATCCATTCAGTGTCTCACTCATGCCTTGTATACAGTAGGGATTCAGAGATTCAGCTCAGAGATTGACTGTCCTTACTCCTCACCCTGCCTAATGGCATCCAGGCCAGCTTCGCCATGAGGGCAGCTCCTCCGAATCTGTCTTGCCTGACGGAGGCCCTCCACCAAGACTTCCACAGCTGGGGAGCCCCCGCAGACAGGCTGTGCCTTGCAAATGCAGAGGGTCACAGCTGGAAGCTCACAAATGGATTTTTACAACCAAAGTCTCCCAGCCAATAAGAATAAAGGCAAATTTTGGATCCTGAGCTAACATTTTAAAAGAATCCTGTGATCCTGACAGGTGCAAAGCAAGCAGATTTCAAACTGAATTGGGGAAGGGGGCTTCTTTCTTAAATTTCGTCTATTTACGCATCCGTTTCCCACTATCTCATCACAGCCCAACACAGAGTTCCAAGCAGAAGGCCAATCGGAAGAAGAGGTGTTAAGGGACGACAACGTGGTCCCTGGTGACTGACCGCTGTAGGCAGAGAGAGGGAAAAGAGGTTTTAGAGAAATGCGCTGGGTCTGAGGTGATGGTAGAACATCCAAACGGAAATTGCCAGTAGGCATTTGGTGATTATAAATTGCCCTTGCCTCCAACTTAAGCCTTGTCTTCCAATTCCACATTAAATAGCTCAAAACTTCATCAGGCAAAGATTATTAATCAGGCAGGCTAGACAATCAGGACTTTTTGAGATGACTCTTGAGAAGGCACCCGGGAGACCCCACAGACGCCACGCAGTGCCCCGTTAGGCCCGAGCGGCCACGAAGACCTGCAGAAGGGTGGGCACCATCACTGAGAACTCAAACAGACTTTCTGTCTTTCAGTACAAAGTCACGAAGTCCGGCCCCAGGAGCAGTCGCTCTAGGGGCTGCCCATGTGAGGTGAGCGCGGGTGCAGGTGCGGGGCAGGGAGCTGGGCATCAGCGGCATGTGCCACCACTCCCGGGTTGTGCGGCTGGAGGCGGGGCCTGCTCCTTCTCAGGGATTCAGAGTTTTCTCTGAAACGGGAGGTTTGGGTGAGGTGAGCACAGGAGTCTCTCCCAGCTCTAATCTGATGGGGGTGGCTATCATAGGAAAGTAGTGTAAAATTCAGGATGTATAAGGTGGTAAAAAGAAGGTCAGAGAGGAAAAGGGTTCTAAGTCTCCAGCGCATGGAGTACAGTTAGGGACAATAGACGTTTGCTTGCCAAGATTGGGAAAGCAACTGCTGGGCCGCTCTCCCAGGGTGTCCCTGTCTATCCCACTAGCCCACTCTCTCCCCTCTGCGCTGCTCGTGGAAAACCGGAGGCATTGTTTCAGAACAGATGATGCTAGTCTATGCCATGCTGGAAACAAAGCTCATGAAGCCCTAGATAAGTTCACAGATCAAAGACTCAAGGTATTTTGGGGGGCGGTGTACATCCGTAACCTTTTGAGGTTAATAAAAAGCAAAGACCGCGATTTAACTCCGGCATTATCCTGGGTCAAAAGTCCTTTTATTTAAAGTATTGCAATAACTTTCTAATTGGTCTTTCTGATTCCGTTTTCTTCTCTCTATAATCCGTCTTATAGATTGCACATTAATCTTTCTTTTGCAAGTTAATCTTCCTAGGGCACAGATCTGACCCCCGATAAAAAGCCATCAGGGATCCTCCTATGTCTGCTGTGTAAAGCCCCTGGCGTTCAAGATCTCTTTGCAATCTTTTAATTTTTATTATTACTTTGATCTGAGCAATCTACTACTCACTGTCCTCCGTACAGAGTTTATGCCTTGTCTCATCCTGCCCAGAGTGCCACACAAATCAAATTCTTTCCCTGCCCTTACAGCCGAGGAGACCCTTCCCTTTGAGCTACACCAAGGTCTCTCTGCTTTGCACCGCCCTCAGAGATGCAGTGTGTCCAGTGGTCAAGTGTAAGCTCTAGAGTCAAAGTGCTTGGATTTGAATCTTAGCTCCGCCACTTACTGGCAGTGTGCTGCTGGGCAAGTTACCTGACCTCTCTGTACCTCTGTGTCATCATCTTTAAAAGGGTAACGATGATACCTATTTCATGGTTATTTCAGTAAAAGACTTATCTCCTTTAGTAGGCAGAATTTATGGGATTCATTTATTTCATCCAAAGAACCTTGAATTTAGTGGATGCTCAATCAGTATTGGGGAATGAATGAATGAGTGAATGAACGAACGAATGACAACACTGTGGGACTCCAGCTTGTTTGTCCCACAAAACCTTTCCTCTTTAGAGCCAGAACACGGATGAGAGGGATATAAGCCCACAGATCATTTTGGTTTAAGCAGCATTCTGGTTTACGGAAGACCCTCCTCCTGTTCAACCCCTGCTCACTACCTTCCTGCACTCACTTTCAACCCACCCCAACTGCTCTACTCGCTGTGCATGAAACGTCATATCCCACTGTGCCTGTCTGGCTTTGATTTCGGTGCTTCCACTTTCTGGAATGCCCTCCTTCTGCTTCAGTGATCCAAAGGCTTAAGCATCTTTGGCTCAGGCTCAGCTCCTGTTGTCTCCCTCGTTGCCTTAACTCTCAATTATGGGTTTTCCCGCAGAATTCCTGAAGGTTTCTGTTTCTTTGATTCATTTATGATTTAACATGTGCTATCTTGTATACATATTTCACTGATTCTTAAAAATTGATTCTTTTACTCCCCCCACCCCTCGTTTTAACATAACATCCTCTGAATTGGGCTGCATTTTGCAGTTGCTCTCAGTTCAACCGGGTGGTGCTTTTCCTCCTTAGACTTTAATACAATAATGGTGCATCTTGCAATCGGTGATGTCCTAGATGAACGCAAACGGGAATGCTTTTATTCTTGTGTATGTTTCCTATCTTTCCAACTATCCTTTTTCAGTCAAAGGCATGTTCTATGATGCTTTTTAATTTTTTCTTAATTTAAAAGATATGCTTTAATTTAGCTGGAAAGTTTTTATGTCTCTTTCACCTTCCACATTGTCCAACATGATACTCTACATGCTTGCAGATGCTTTGTAAATGTCTGCTGCTGATCATGGTAAGATCCATGAATGCTTCTCCCTCTGCCATGCCCTCCACCTCAGTTTGGGGTGGTAAAGGGCCTGACTGCAGCCATGATACCAGAGCAGGCCATGCCCCTCTTCCCCACAGGTAGGATGGGGCATATCAGTTTATGAAATGTTAATGCACAGAAATCTCTTTTTTCTCTTTCTTAATTTTTTCTAATGCCCGGTAGCTTCATTTTTTTCCCCTGCACCCACTTTGGCTCCCCCATCCCCTCCTGCTGTAGAGTCCATTGCTTCTAAGGAACAGAGGGTTGCTTCCACGGGACCTCAACCCTGAAAGGCCCCATCAGCCCTTTCTGTTATGGAGCAGGGGAGGGGCAGGGCCAGGACCGCCACAGATTAGATCCTAGCAAGAAAAGAGAGACTCTAGGCAATGCTCATCTTCCCATCTGGTGCTCTAACCTTGAACGGCCTCCTTAGAATCTTAAAAGGCCAGTTCACTGCTCCGAAACCAGTTGGTTGTTAGCAACAAGAGGATTAAGGTCCCCCAGGCAGGAGGGATTACTGGCACGCCCCCTTCTCTGCATCCACTGTCAGAATTTATCAATAATTAATCTCTATTGATCTCAAGGCTTCAAGTATGCAGGAAACAGCTCACTGCCCCAGACAGGCTGAGACTCTTGTCCCAAAATACACCAGAGCTGTCAGCATCTTCCTCACGGGTCCAGGCTTGAGTGTACACTTATTTTTCTGGACTCTGTTATAATGGACTAGAGTTACTGGAGTTACCTGGTCTCCGGGTGAGGGGGGATGCCTGTGAGAGAGGATGGCATAACTCTTTACTGCCCACTACTCTTCAAGGTTTAGCAAGTGAAGAGGCACTTTTAACCATTCATTCACTCAACAAACATTAGCAAGCACCCACTATAAACCAAGTACTATGTTTGGTGCTGGCTAAACATGGTCCCTAGAACAGATTATAGTCT